CTTTTCTTCCTGGCCACTACTAATTCCGTAAGGGTCTATAATCTTATGGCCCACAGACTGCAGCGCCGTTACAAGGCTCCAGGGGGCATTACGACATGCTTATCCGTGCACACGGAAGGTGATAATTTCTTGGTTGGTGACACCACGAGCCACACGCAGTGGTACGATTGTGATTTCTCCGACAAGCCGTATAAGCGCATGCGCTCGCATAAGGGGGTGGTCAACGCCGTAGCGTTCCACAACAACACCAACGCCTATCCACTCTTTGCATCCGGTGCGTCCGATGGCCAGGTTCATGTGTTCCATGGCATGGTTTACGACGACTACAACAAGAATCCGTTGTTGGTGCCTGTGAAGATCTTAAAGCACCGCCGAGCGGTATACTCCATCGCATGGCATCCGACGCTGCCGTGGGTCTTCACGTCCACCGAGGACGGTATTGTCTCGGCATGGACCGAGTGACGCGGATAATCGGAAGGGGGAAACAATAAAACATGAGGAGGATTCCCTTATTTCTATGAACCGGAGAAGTTGTGGAAAAGGTGTGAGTGAATTATTTGTTAAATGACGAATAAATGACTGAGAGACGCTTCCATATTTGCTTTGGGAGAAGGATAAGCAGAGAAGGAGAATGAAAGAAAAAAATAAAAAAAGAAAGAAAGACAATAAAATAAAATAAAATACACTCAAAAAAAAAAAAAGGATGCAGATAAAAAGAAGAGCAAAAAGAATGGTTTCTGGTGTAGTAGCCACTCTTTCCCTCTCTTTATTTCCACTCTGTATTTATGTGCACCACTGTTTTGGGTCTGTCTTTGCGTTGCCTTTGTAGTGCTTTCTGCTATTTTTTGTTGTTGGTGTTTTTTTTTTTTTTTGTTCTCCATTGCGCTCATGAGAGTGGGAAGAAGAGGATAGGGAGAGAACACATGTGAGGTGGTGGAATCACTGCCCCAAAAAGGATATCGTTCCGGTAGACCACCGTCGGCGCTTCTTTTAGAAAGAGAGAGAGAGTGTGTGTGTATGTGATAACTTCAGGGAACTGGTGCGGAGAATAATAAACTTCTCATACACATGCATGGCTGCTGTGGACCTTCAGTCTTGTTTTCTTATGAATATCACTGAAATTTTGCATTTGGATAAGTGGCGAGGGGATGTGTGTTGACACCAGTGCCGGTAATGGGGCTGCGGTATGTGTTTTTTATGGACCACAGAAGGAAATCTTCACTTAAAGGATGTCATCGGAAACTAAAGGGCCATCGGTACTAATCCTGTTTGTTTTTGAACTTGTGCACTTCTGTTGTTATTTGCTATGCTCTTGGAGGAATGTCTCTTGCATGTTTTTTTGTCGTTGTTGCGTTACACGAGGCGTCGAGGCCTATTGACCCAGCAGAACCATCGACAGCCTACATTGTTGGACAACCTCCACTAGTTGATACGCCTGCTAACGAGAAGAGTGGTGTGAAAATGGAGCCTTGGGCGCACTTGTCGCAGGCAGGTTCACCTGCAGCCTCGTATTGAAGAAATCATGAGCTGTTAAAAGTATTTTAAAGCTTATTTCTTTTTTTTTCCTTTTCATTTTTTTTTTTTTTTCATTTAATAGGCCCTATGGGAGGGTGCGTGCGTCTCGTGTGAGCCTGCATATTTCTCTCAGATGGTACCTTATTGAATTTTAGCGCCAGAAGGGTGTGTGGTTTATTTTGGGGCTTTCCCTGTTATTTGACTTCTTTGAGATTATTTTCTCCCCTTTTTTAATTTTTTTCTTTCATTGAATTTTTCAACATCAGGACCGATCGATGGAAGAGACGTCGCGCAATCATCATGACCATCCTGTGCGCGACCCGTCTTCACGCGTGACCATTGCAGTATGTGGCTGTGGCAATGACGGTCGCCTTGGCTTAGGGGAATGTGAATCACAAAGTCGCATCACACTCCTCCCCTTTTTTTTGGAGAGCGCACTTCACAAGGAAAATGGCACTGAAGAATTAATAGGCGGTATCCGCGCAGTGCGTGTCGGTGGATATCACAATTTTGTCATCACCACGACGGGCGTGTATGGGTGGGGTCTAAACGAAAATGGCCAGCTTGGTTTGGGGAGCCACTCTGCGGCGTGTGTGCCGCTTCCCACCCGCATTCCCTTTTTTAATGAAATGACCGTTATAGACATTCAATGTGGCGCCTACCACACTTTTGCATGGACCACAAATGGGCTTTTTGTGTGTGGAAAAAATACTGATGGGCAGCTTGGTTTACCAGGTGAGGAGGATCACTTCTCATTTACGATGTTGCTGACGGCTGCGCAGGCCAACAACAGCAGCGTCAGGGAGGATGAAGAAAGTGGCGGGTGCCGTCTTATTAAACGGGGTCAGCTGACACATATGAGCTGCGGTACGCACCATACGCTTCTTGCGTTCCGTGATGTATTTGTGGTGAACGAATTTCAAGACGAGACGCAGCAACAGCACTATCAGCTTCTTATCGCGGCGGCGGGGAAGGGGGATTTTGGTGAACTCGGCTACGACGGAGACATGTGGTCCGTACTAGAGGCTAAAACAAAAGCTATGCAATCCGCACTGTGCCATGGGTTACGGCGGCAGCAGGAAGAAAAGGATTCTGACGCCGCTATGCCTATCTCCCTTGAGAAGAGGTGGAAGCCATTGAAACCTCGTCGAGCCGTCTTTTCTTCTTGGCGCTTCCAACCGGTGCGTCTCCCCATTCTACTTGATCCAATTGAGGCACCATCGGATAAGCCCAGTTGTGAAATTGTGAGCCTTCATGCAATGCACTTGCATTCCGCAGTGGTTCTACGCGATAATTCTGTGGAGTCACGGTCCGGTGGTGTCGGTCGCAAGCGAACCTTTCACTGGGGCTGCTACTACCTCAATGTTTTGGAGGATGACGCCTCCTCTATTCCGCGTGAAGAAGAGAGAGAAGAAGTTTCTCTGCACGCAGGCAATGAATCACTGTTCCGCTACTCCACTTCGGCCTCCACGTCCCACGCCGCGGTAGAGGTGATGGGGAGCGGCGTGCTTGGGTTGGGAGAAGAGGATTCATTTGTGAAGTCTTGGACCCCGTTGCCGCTCCCTCAAGAGGCAAAAAACCTTTGCGTCCGAGCCATCACTGGGAGGGAGCATTATCTCATTCTGCTAGAAGATACCCTTGTTGTTGGATTTGGCGATAATATGCACGGGCAACTTGGAGCTGGATGTGTGGAGGATGTCGTGTTGGATCCCACTGTCGTTCTTCGAGCCGGTGATGCCGTGAGAAGCCCTGCGTCGTTGGCTGGGGAGGGACTTTGGAGGGTAGAGGCCATTCACGATGCAGCGTGTGGTTTACGTCATTCCGTTTATCTCTTGAAGATTTCTCCAGTAACTTCTGCGGAGTCCAGCTCCACACCTCGTGGGTAAGCGAGAGAAGACCCGAGAAGCACCGTCGCTTCGCAGAGTTTTATTGATGTGAAGAAGCTTGGCGGGAGAAAAGTAAAATGGAAGAGTGACATGGAAGAAGAAAAAGCACCACGTGCATCGGCCCACACGTGTACATATATATGTATTTATTGGTGCATGTGTGTGTCTGTGTGTTTGGGTTGGTGACTTTCTCGCTCTCTGCGTATTCTCTTCTTTGATTTCAGGAGGGAATTATTTTGTCTTTAACGCGGTGTATATTCTTTTATTATTTTTTCATTTATTTCATGGGTGGCAGCACCTTTTTTAGTCCGCAGCAGCAGCTGGAGGGCAAATTGCACACAAGAAAGAAAAAGGAATTGTTCTTTACTACTATTTTTTTAAAATTTTACACACATTTTTTTTTTAGCTTTATTGTGGATGCTTCGTTACCCCTTTGTGCGGTGCGTTAGAGGGTGTGGCGTAAGTGTCACCACAGATATTTTTTATTCCCCTTTTTGGAGGAATTGCAGTACGCTTACTAACGCTTCCTCAGACAGTTCTGTTCACCCAGACCTCATTGAAGAAATAAAAGAACTTCTGGAGCGTGTTCCCGCTGAGAAGTGGATCCCGGTTGGAACGCTCTACAACGATCTCTCTCTCGATAGCCGCAGACGCCATGTCCGACCGCATAAAACACTCGCAGCGGCATTATCGAAAGCTACTGGGCTTGGTGTGCATTTGAATCAAACGGGTCTCATGTTTTGCAAGGGGATTCCACCAAAAGAGATTGATGTACCGTCAAGAGAGACAACGGATCAGACTTCTAATGCTACTCCCTGCAGTGGTGATAAGGAGGGTGCGGGTGTTTGTGGTTCCAGTGGCAGCGGTGCCACTTCAGAACAAGCAGCTGGAGTTTTTATGCGACCCACAGAAAGGGTAACGGTGGATACTTCCAGTGATATACCGCCTGTGGATTTCTATTATGATGTTGGGCTTCGAGATTATCCTCCCCCACCTCCGGACTTCGATGTAACCGCATCAACGTTGCCTTCTCCAACAATGATGGGGAATGGGGCGATTCTCTCACTTAGTAGTTTTGTTTCGTACATTCCACCATTCTTTGTGCCGCTGGGAGAAGTTTTAGAGGAGATGCCTGGATACACGGAGGAGCACATTGAAAGATATTTTAAGCATCGTGCCTCAGAAGTAGTCACAGTGGCTGGGCGAAAATATATTCGGCTTTATGGTGGTTATGCGAAGTTTCCATTGGACGGTTGTGAAGTGGCCGAAGAGCGTTTTGAACGATATAGGCCTGACCCCCTCGCACTAAAGCCATTTATTGACTCCTTTGGAGGCATTACGGGGCGTTGGATGCCACTTCGGATTCTGTTAGATCGTGCAGGACATGCGGCGGTAGCGAAGTTGCCATTTAAGGGGCCTGCTTCCATTATTTATTTTGCCCAAATGCAGCACGTTTTTGCCTTTGCTGTTGACCGTGACGGGGGCTCGGTGCTTCTGCGTCCACCGGGTTACGATGGCCTTGAGTGTGAGACGACACCGACTCCAAAGAGTTGTAACTGCATCCTTCGTCTGGTTCCACAGGACGGACAGGTGGATATTCGCCACATTGAAGAGTCCATCCCTGTCTCGGTTCAGGAGGAGGTGAAAATATTTTACGGCACGCTTCTGCAATTTTTTCGGTTTCATGCCGCCGTATTTTCTCTCTCTGCAGATGGCTCTGTGGTTATGCGGCGTAGATTTAAGGATCGTATTGACAAGGACCAGTTGTCCCTGGAGGAACAGCTGGCTATTGCCATCAGTGAACGGAACAAAAAGAAGATTCGCTCCCTCCGACGCCGCATTGCCTTCCGGAATGATCCATCGAACCCCTTTCACGACCCCGACAACCTCGCGCGGGAGCTTCATCGTTATCTTCCCAAGAAAGGCCATGTGCCACTCAAAACGTTTCTCAAGAAAAATGTGCCGGAGGAATTGCTGAATTACCTGCCGCGTAGATTTTGGAATTTCTTCAACAACTACCCGCAATACTTCCAACACTTTGAATATCAGGTGGCGGGGCAGTGGTGTATTTGCCAGCCGGGTCTGCCATTACCGCGTGGCGTCATTCGGCAAGAATTCTCAGAGGAAGACCTTGTTCGGTTGGTAGCCGAATTTCTTCAGCAGCGTGGACCCAAGGCATGCTCAACTATTATTCTTCACCTCCCACGTGGAGCGCAGGAGGCTGTGCGGAAGCGTTACGGTGGCGTATTTTACCTTGTGCAGGCATTTCCACAGTACTTTAATGTTGTATTGCCTGCCGAAACGGGTAATGTTGTAAGCATGGCGATGGTACACCTAGTGGAGCTGCCTGGTGCGGAGTTTACAGGCAGGAGTGGGCCATTGAATGCTGTGGTGGATAAGGAGGGAGGGAAATGGGATGAGAACGAAGATATTGACGACGAGGAGGAGGACGAAGACGGAGCGTTGGCGACCTCACGGTAGTCATGGGGGCAAAAAAAAAGAAAAAAAAACAAACGTTATACCGGGCTTCTGGAGGGCGACAACATAAAAGAAAAATAAGGAGGATTTTCCATTAGTCCACTGCTTTGTCGCCTATCCCCCAGTATTGTCGTTTTACTCACATAATTTTGTTTTGCATCATCTCGTCACTCTTTTATTTTTGTACTGTCAACAATAATATTTCCATGTGTCTGTTGCTGCGGGTGCCTCTGCGACTTTCATCTTTTTTTCTTCTTTTTCCTTTTTTTGCCTTTCCCTGTGGCTTTTATTTCTCATGTGTGTGTGGCTGTGTGCGGAAGGGGGAGCCTTTGTTTTTTTCTTTATTTCCTTTTTTTTTTTTTTGTCTCCGTGGGGCCTTCATTTCGCGTTCGCAGCGGTGGTGGGTGGGCAGCGGCAACGCGGTTCAGAAGCAAAAACAAAAAACACAAAACGCCGGGGGTGGCGGCTCAATTCGCATGGCCGTGACCGGCCGAGGTGAACCCCGCAAGACGACGCGACGCGTACAGAAAAGAGGACCGCATTTGCAGCAAGAGAAAAAGACACGCATGCGGATCGACCTCTCGCGAAGAAATCTCATCGACTTTGATTCCGCTGCCTTTTCCACAGACGATGACCGGGAGCTCCTCATCTCCATTACTCGGTTAGATATCTCTTACAACAGCATCTCTTCCCTTTACGGATTGCGTTGTCTTTCCACATTAGGGTCGTTGGATGTATCAAACAACAACGTCACGTCCTTGCGGGGACTTCCACCGCCACTAAGGCAGTTGAATGCATCGTTCAATGCATTGACGGACGTAGAGGGCCTGTCACCGCTTCTTCATTTGGAAGTATTGGTGGTTTCACATAATAAAATTACAAGCCTAGAGGGCATCCCAGCATCCGTACGCATTATAGACGCATCCAGTAATCGAATTGCGTCACTCGGAGGCATTGAGGGATGCATTTTACTGGAAGAACTGCATGTTCGGCAAAACATCATTCAAAATGTGGAGGGGATAGCAATGATCAAATCTCTACACTCGCTCAAGGCAGTGACACTGGCGGAGAATCCAGTAACAAGCAGCAAACGAAGTGCTGCTGCAGTTTATGCCATTTTGCCACCGACTCTGCAATTTGTGGATTTACCATCCGAATCTTGGATGAACCACACTTCTGCTGCGTCTTCTTTTAGTCACACCGCGTCAGTTAACACTGCCACCGTGCGAGACACGATAAATATCTCTTGTTTCTCACCCGACAGTACGGTGAGGACGAGCAAGGGTGCCTCAACTCGTGGAAGCTCTTCTCCTTCCGCGTCGTCGTCTTCCCATGTATCGTTGCATACGAAAGATGAAAATGAAAAACGGAAGCAACCGCTTTCAGAGGATAATATGACGTCTTTCATTGCAGTAAATGACATCAAGGCAGATGCACCGTCTTTTCACTTGCACAGAGAAGTTTCTTCTTTCTCGGATACGGATCAGCACAGCACTTTTTATGATTCCAGAGACGTAACTCACATGCAAGGACCCAAACGACAGCAGGCACTCTCCGATGTGAATATCTCGGCTCCCAACATACATGCACAACACATGACTTCGTCCTTGGAGCATCTTCAGTTTGAACTCGATGAGTGCCAGAGAACGTGTTTGTTTTATAAGATGGAGAACGAAGAGCTAAAACTTCACATTCAGCAGTTGCAATCCAAAAATGAGTATCAGGAGCGGATGAACACCATCCTATTGGAGAGGAACCAGAAGCTTCAACTTCTTTGTGCCGGCTCTTCTCCGCTGCAGCAAGGAGAAATACCTTCTGCTCCAACGGACATGAAGCACCATGTGGAAGGTGGCGGTGCGGTTCAATCAAAATCTTTATTGATGGGGCCGTTGATAGGGCCCTGCAACAAACGTAGTGGTAATTTGAGAAGAGAAGCGTCAGGAGATGATTCTCAGCATTCCAAGGTGGAGGAGCTTTCAGGAGAAGTATCTTCACTTGAAGCAAGGGCTGAGCTTCGCCGCGGAGCTCGTTCACTGGCAAGATTGTTTATGTCTTTGGTTCTCAAACCTGAATTACGGCAGCCGCGGTGTAGCAGTCCCTCTACGGCTGATGCAGCCGCTTCTAACGATAATACCAATAACAACAATAATAATAATTCTCATCATCATTTAATTTCTCCACAAACTGAGGGTGGTGCAAACAATATCAATGCAAAGGAGAGGAGCGGTTTGAGAGACACAAATGCAGTTGATAAAGGGCGTAAACGCAGTGTTTCATTTGGAGGATTCGCATACTATTCGCCTCCGCCCTGGTAGGTTTGGATGTTGCCGCAACTGAACGTTCAATTCCAAATTTGTTGAGTGTTTGCGCGTGTGTAATGTGGCGAGGGAGAGGAAAAGGATCAGTATTTAATTATTGTTATTTTTGTTCTTCTCTCTTTTCACGCCTGCTTGGGTGTATGTGTTTGTCTTGTAGATGAATGCATTGTTGTATGGTTCTGTTCTGTATTGTCGTCTTAATCATTTTGAGCTTTCTCCCCATTTATTATTTGAATGCACCCGTTTGCACCTGAGATGTAGATGTGAAAGACAAGTACTAATGATTCTCCCTTTTAATTTTTCCACCTCTACCCACTTTGCTTACTTTGATCTTGTAATGAGGTCATTGGGAGATGTCCCGTTCATGCTCTCCACAAAGGGTAAAGAATGGCCTTGGTCAAAAGGGCAGGCACCGTGGGCCTCAGAGTCCTACGCGTTGTTTGTTGTTACACTCGTTTGAGGAATGCGGCGATTTACCCGTGACATGTGTAACGGATGGGAGCATTTCACCTGGGCCTTATGGGAAACTGCAGGACGTAATACCTTTTTATGGAAATAAGAAGGGGAATGTAAAGGCATTTCAGTTTTGGAATGGAAGATCTATAGCAACTGCGGGGCAAGGAAAGATGGCGTCAGTGACCGCATTACTTTTAATCCCTGGGCGCTCTTTGTTGTGGTGCGGCGACGAAAAGGGCGTCGTCACGGTTTTTAGACTCCCTGCCAAGGAGGGGTGGATACATGGCGATTTATTTTTTTGGGACGGTACCCTCTGTGGCACGGATCACCCTGCTTCCGTCACCTGCTTTGCTGCAGATGTTAATAATTTTGTTTACAGTGGATCTGCCGACGGCACCATTTTTTCATGGTCGATGGGGGATTCATTTAAGTTTGCCGGGAAGGTTGGCCAACACACAGGGGAATTGGCGCAAATGGTCCTTGTGTGTGACGATTATCTTGTCTCGGTGGGCTCAGCTTCTGCGATGGTGCATGTTTGGCCTCTTGGTAACAAAAGAGTTGGGCAGGAACCATTTGCTCTCAAGGGTCACTTGGGTGGTGTACTTAGTTGCCTTTATGTTGGAAAATGGTGCGGTGGAGGAGGTCTTCTTTGGAGTGCTGGGGAAGATTGTTTTATTTATGTGTGGGATGTCAACAATCCCGTGCATTTTGGCTGCCGCATTAATTGTAGGGATGTGGAGAATGGGGAGATGATGGACGATCACACCCTTTTTGGGGTGAGGGAAGAAGAGGAAGAAGTGAGAGCGGGGTTGGCAGAGTCTTTGGGAAGGGAAGATGACTCTCTTCAGGTCAACTCGCTTCGGTTGCTTGTTGGGCACAAAGAACCAGTTGTTACACTAAGTGCGGCCTCCGGTATACTTTTTTCCTGTGATAGTTCCGGTTTGATTCTAGCGTGGAATCCGGAGCGTTATTGGCTGCTACATGCCTTTACCGTGCCTCGCGGTGAAAGTTTAATTCATCCTCCATCAAATGTCCTCGCTGACAGAGGCAAATCTGTTCTGGTTGAGGCGGTCCGTGGGGCGCATTGCCTTGGATTCATAGAGGGATTCTGTTGGATCATTGACACTGCTAGAGGTCCACGGTGCATTTACATGCCCAGCCATACAAGCATGAAGAAGTTACTGTGTAACGGAAATACAGATGCTTCCCCCTTTTCTGGTGAGCGTGCAGTTTCGACTGCGTTCATGCATTTGAAGGAGACGTTTATGCACGATACCGTGAGTCTTTTTGTGCAGTATATAGAATTTCATGCTGAGATCTTTGTTCATGCGGCAGCGGTTTTGCTGCAGTGGGATATGCCGCCGCAGTGTGGTTTCTGTTCTCTGGGAAGCATCGCCCAAACCTTTTTGCCTGGAGGGCCTAACAAAAGATGCGGGCAAACCGACTCTGCTTTAATGCCTCGATTACCGTGTGAGAGGTGTGCGGAGATGCACGATCTTCAGACCGCACGCAGGGCGGTGGAAGATGAACGCGGGTTGTTTGCCGCGCGACGGCAGGAAGAAGAGGAGCGGTGGCGTATGGAACGTCAAAGTCTGAATGAGGAGGCAATTCGTTTGGCAGAACGAGCCGAGGCGCTGGACCGCCTCCAGACGACTCTCCTGGAGAAGGAAAGGCGGCAAGAATACATAGTAAAAGAGCATGAGGAGCTTTTGCGTTGTCTGAAAAAGCGAGATCGAGATCGAGAACGGCAGCTAGCACGCGTTAGTACTGAACTTGCGTTTCTTCGGTTGAAATACGCTGACTGGGGTGGTGTCAAGGAGAGCGGTGTGTGAATGGGTGAGCCCATACCATGGAGGGTGAATTGTGGTGTTCTATGGCCCTATGGCGAGGAGGCGTGACAAAATTTTTGTGGCGACGTGAAATAAACAACAATTTTCCCTTCACAAATACTTTTTTATTTATTTATTTTTTTTATTTGACGTGATAATTTTGGTTTCTTTTTTTTTGCATTTGGTTTGGCTGAGCGCGTAGAGACAAAGGCACATACATAAATAATAAAATACTGGCACATAGACATATAGACCTATATACACAAGCAAACATATATATATATATATATATATATAGAGAGAGAGAGAGAGAGAGAGAGAGAGAGAATTAAGCATTCAAGGATGATGAAGCTTCATCGCATTCTGCGTAGTCTACCTTTTGTACCAATGGCTTTATCCACCTTTGATACCATAGAACGCTCTGCAGCTTCTTCTACTGCCACAGGTTCAACATCGCATTCATTTGTGTCAGATGGTCCACCATACTTCATCTCGCCGAAGCATGACGGAGTGCGCATCCTGTCGTACGTGAGTGAACATACCGAATCCCTCAAATCAACGTGTTTTTCTCGCTTTGGGCGACCTGTTCATGGCATGTTTTGGATTGAAGAAGAACTCCGTCTCTTGCGATGGCTCTGCGGAGACCCACGGCTGGTCTTGGATGGAGAGCTATACGTTCATAAAGAGCCTCATGCACGATCAACGGGTGACGATGGGGCTAGAACCGGATTTTTCTCTGTGTCAGCTCTGGTGCATCGTTTGCGCGGGCCTAAATCGGCCTGTTCCTCTGAGGAGGAGGTGCTCAGTTATGTTGCGTCACTCCCCCGTTTGTGTGTGTTTGACATTGTTTCCTTTCAGCCATCGGACAAGACAAATTTGTCTGAGGAGAGCAGTGGGCGAGGCCTTTCGCGGATTGAGAAGGAGCGCGTGTCGCTTCTCCGAGAGGTGATGAAGGCCAATGGTGTTCGTGATTTGGAAATGCTGCGTGTCATTCCAAATTATTCAGTCTTTTCACAGCGATTGAAGGTGATGCATTTTCTAATGTGCGTTTTGCATCGCGCCCGCGCCTCTTCCATTTTGTTCCCTGGCAGGGCTGTGAGTGTCACCACCTCCAAGAAAAATGAGATGAAAAGCCGAAACGGCAACTCTTCCGATATGGCGGTGGGTGTGACAAACGTCGGTGGGGAGTATTTGCAGCTTGTGAAGTACTCGCTGCTTCGCTCCCTTGACGATGCAAAAAAGATGTATCTCAAGAAATATCTCTCATGCGGGTATGAAGGTGCCGTCATTCGCAGTGCGTCAAATGTGTATGAGCTGAAGGAGAAGGAAAGAGGTGTCTTACTGGGGCTCTTGGACCCACTCATTTCCGTGGGGGAACGCCCGTTTGTGAACAAACAGGCTGCCTGCTGGCCAAAGCGGTCGGTTCTGATGGCGGAGGCCCCGCCACTCCTTCGCACATATGCCAAGAACGGATTGCTCGCTTCCATTGGTTCTGGTGAATACGATTGGACGGATTTTGTAGCGGATGAGAATGAGGCAGAGGAGGCGAATCACCAGGTTGTCGTGGGGGCAGCAGTAAGGCGGGCAAAGCAGAATGCTCGCCGTAGCACCACAGCTGTCAAATTGCTTCCTTTTTGTGACAAGGAGTATGCAATTCTAAAGCCACTGCTGAAGATACCGTCAGCCAACCCACGCGCTCGAAAACTTGTTAGCGTTCCTCTGAAATTGCTTCACGGAGGTCGTGATGCCATCTCAGTCCCTCGGACCGCTTTTGGGAAGGCCGCGTCCAAGAAGAATGAGAAGAGCAAAGTGGTAGTTTTTTACGGTCTGCAGTGTCTCAGCGAAACGGGGCGTGTGTTTAACGTTTCACTTCCCAAGATGGATGTCGCAAAGCAGCGAGCCTTGCTGGATCACCTCTTGGAAGTGACAGGGGTCTCCAGGAAGATGGGTGGGAAAAGAAACACTGGGGGAGTTGGTTGCCGTTCACTGACTGGTTTGTACGCCACGGTTAAGTATTCTTCACTCACGGAGTACGGCATTCCGCGTTTTGGTCAAGTGAAGGCCATACGCGGAGGCAAGGGATGGTTTTTGTGAAGCACACCGCATCTCACTAACATGACTTACAAATAATTTTTCGATGCGTGTTGTAAACACAGCATTCATGCATATATATAATCTGAGTGTTTTTTTCTTTTTTTTTTTTTTTTTTTTTGGTGGGTGTTTGGTGTTAATTTGGGCATTGGATAGATAAATGGGAGGGATTTGAAAGAGGTGATTTGTACAGAAGATGACGAAGAAGAGTGAGCAGTACACAAACATTTTTATGCACATGTGTGTGTAATATATATGTGTGTCTTCGTGAAGAATACGTGTGTAAATTCCACCGTTTGAGGCGTACAAATGGAATGCGAGTTTTTTTTTAAAAAGAAAATTTTTTTCTTTATGCATTTATCCTTTGACACGTTATTTATGCCTTCTCTGTTTTGTGGTGATTTATGCCTGGTGAGTAAGAGTAACGCGAAGTGATACAAATGGGCAAGAAGGCAAACTTTGAGCGTGCACACCAGCGTCAGGTGCAACACACACGAGAACAGCGCAAGCGGAAGGTTGCTGCTGCCAGGGCGTTGCGAATTGGCGAGGATACCAATGGGAGACGCATTCAGCGCTATTCTCTGCCCAAGGTCCGTCTGTCCGATGAAAAGAAGAAGATGC